TATTGGTAAATGTCATTGTTTTTCTTAATCTGTAAAATGGGAATAATTATAGGAATATCACTGTTTTAAGGATTAAGTGGGAGAACGTATGTGAAGTCTTTAAAGTTATTCCCAGCACATAGTGAATATTTAACAGTAGCTACTCTTGGTATTATTATTTATCTTAGGAAAACTAGTTAACAAAAGTATTGATTCTTTCCACAAGTCTTAAACTAACCATGCACTCATGGATTTACAGTCTAGTAATGGAAAGAGACAATGAGAAAATCAATAAATATGCATTGTGACAAAAGCTCTCAAACAAGCAAGGGACTGGTTATAAGACATAAAGGGTGGAGTGGGTGACAAAGGTAGATAAAACAGTCAGGGATGGCCTCTGCGAGAACGTGCTGTTTGTGTTGAAAATTGAAAGGTAAGAAGGAATAAGCTATGTCAAATACTGGGTTTGGAGGTGGACAGAAGAAAAGACTGTAGGCAGAAAGGACGCTATAAAAGGTACTGGAATTTGGCCAGGTTCCTGGAACTCAACAGTCTCGGATAACATGGTGATATAAGGAACAACACATTCTTCTGCTATTGATGCTTCTAGAGTGTGATATTCCCACTAGACTCTGTAGCCTGATGAGAATTTGGGGTACCAGGGGATCCCTGTGAGTGCAGTAAAAGGAAGGAATAGAGATTTATGTTATGTAAACAGTGCAGATTCATGAGACAGATAATATTAATAGAGCAGAAAATCAAATGCACAGGAAGTTTTAATAGAAAGACTCCAAAGGTCTCATTTTGATGATATATATGTCTTGGGAGATGTATTTTGACACATAAATTACTCTGTATTTGACTCATTGTACCTATAAAATAAAAGTAAACGAAAACTTGTACCGACAAAATATTAGTGAAACTAATGGTACGAAGGAATGAAGTACTAATAATTTAAAAATATTTCAAGTATATAAATAATTTTTTTTATTTAACTGCTTGCCTATCTGTGTCAGAGAAAGAAAAATATATATTCTTTCTTTATGATGGCAAATACCAAGGTATTTGAAGATACTTGAACGAAAAGAAATGTTTTTATATGTCATCAAAATGCTTGCTGTTATGTTGCCCTAGGAGAACACAATGACTCGACTTTTTCCCCCCACAAAACTCAGAGCTTTATTGAATCTGTGGAAATCTGAGATACCTGAATTAAAATTTAAAATTCTTTGAACTGCATGATTAATCTTCACAATGAGAAATATCTAGAATATGTACGCAAATTCAAATATTTAGGATCTTCTACATAATTGAGAGCAACCTTTCATTGAACAATGCCTATCTAGTGTTTGTTTTGTTTTTAAAAGCCACTTTTTTCCTAAGTAAAACTCATATTTCTTTCTGATTATAACATGAACTCATTACAAGTTTGTAATCCTGCATAAATTCAAACCATGTGTAAAACTGTAAAGGTGAAAATAAAAATTAATAATCTAATTTACAACCTGGAGATTCAAAGTCAGAAGATATGAAGTAGGAAACTGGGAATCTGTGTTTTTTAAAGAGTCCACTCAACACACATACCGCCCACCCACCCCAAGAGTAAGCACCGCTGGCTTCTGAGATCCTTAAAATTTAATATGTGCATGAATCACTTGAAGATCTTGTTAAAATAAAGACTCTGATTCAGGATCCAGGTGGGGCCCAGGGCTTTGCATTTTTGGCAATTTCCCAGGCGATGCTCATGCTGCTGGTCCAGCTCTCTCAGTCAGACGACTTTCTAACAATTTTTTGAAACCTTCAAAAATGAAAACTTTACAACCATTTCTGGCAGTGTCTTTCAGAAATTATCACTCAGACTACAAAAAATGTTTTTCATTATGGTAAATTCATTTAAGGGTAATTTCAATTTCAGTTTTTCCCTTTATAACATTATTTTTTAACCTAAAGGGCGCAAGAAGTGGTAATTGCTTCCAAAGTCTGTTGTGTTCAGATAGGTGCCTTTAGCTAGAAGTCCAACTTCATGTCTACTCTCAGCCCACTCAACTGTTAAGCTAGTTTTCTTGAGTCATTGTCAACCTGTTTCTGCCCAGGCATTCTCAGGGAGTTCACAGTTCCACAGAACGCCTTATCAGACTTCAGTATCCCAAGAGAGCCACCTATAAACAAGGAGGTCTTGACTCCAAAGAATCCTAGAGAAAGAAGCAGCCAACACTGAATGAGAGAGGTTCTTTTTTATTTTTTTAAGACAAATCTGGAAACAATCCCAGATTATGCATTAGAAGGAATACTATTAATTTAGGCCACAGCTGGGAAACTCTAAAGAATAAAAACTTCATTTATTTATAATGTAGGGGGTCATTATTTTCCTTCCTGGAAAACATCTGTTTTTAGTTCTTCTCAGCCCATAATAGATAAAAGCCTGGAAGAAACATCTGTGGATTCAGATTTTAGTTACGTGGTTGGAGCCGTTGTTATAAATCTATCAGCGGTCGCTTTATGGCAATAGTTATAATGGACCTGTTTTGGGGGCTATGTGTCAGGCACTGTGCTAAGTATTATCTTAACCTTGCACAAAAATATGACATGAATACTAGCATTAACTCTACTTTAAAGATGAGAACATTGTGACGTTTAGCCAGGTTAAATAACTTGTCCAAGGTCATAAAATAGTAAGTGACAGAGGCAAGGCATGGATCAAGAAAGCAGATCTGGTTCTTTCTAACTCCCAAGTGCATGCTTTTAATTTTTCTACTCTGATCTCTCTATGGCCAAGTTGGCATCAGAAGTATGGCAGAATCTGTCACTGACACTTTCATGTGACATGATCTATTTGATTATTGTTTTGGCATCCAATAGATGATAACTCTAAGAGAATTATTGGTGCAATTCTGGAAAATAGTATTCCTTTTAAGCAAGTATCCCTTATCTTTTCACTAGTGTATTTTCCCTCCTTGTCTGCCAGATAACAGTACTAACAGTAATGTAGCATCATGATGCTTGGGTCATTTCTTTGTTGTATGAGGAGGGGTTAGAAACAAGCAAGCCAAATGATTTAATATGTATCCCCTTTGCTTGAAGAAACTTTAATAGGGAGCATTTGTCTAAGAGAGAGACACACATGGAGGGCAGGAGGGGAAGAGGGGGAGAATTTTTTGAAAAGGCGTTTTTGAATTAACAAATTAAATGGAGTAAAATTTCATTACAATGACATCCAAAGGGCCAATCACATTTTTTTCTCAATCAGTTATTGGAGAGATTTGGAAATTTCTTTGTCAGGGAGTGTTTTTTTTTTCTTCTTAAATTAGCAAGATTTGGGTCACAGGATTAGAACCCGATTAGGCAGAGTTCAGCAGCGCTCTAGAGAAATGACAAATTGAGGCCCAAGAGAGATTTTCTTAGCAGAGAATTGGTCTCTGCCTGCTCTGAGGCCTTTTTCTCTGAGAGCTGATTGAAGCTTTGTCCAGCCCATCCTACTGTCTATGGATGCTCTATGAAATTCAAATTTTGTTTAAAGTTTCTGTGCTAACTGATGTGCAAGATGTAAGATTGGCTGTGCCCGGTTTTATGCAGATGTGTGGCTCAATTTTTATAATGTTTCCTGTTCATAAAGCTTTAAAGGAATGAAAAAGAGGAGATTACTCCACTTACTAAGTTGCCCATCCTCATTCTCAAACCAGATTCATCATGTAATCAGCTTTCTTCTACCATATTTAATCATTTATCTGTCTATCTACCTATTTATCTATACATACTCACATATACACGTATACATATATTTCATATATGTATATCTTGGTGAATGAGTATGCTTGAAGAAAGATGATAAATATAGGTTATTATATATACATATATATTTATTCAGGGTAATGTGGCAGTGATTTGATTTCTGACAAAATCCATTCTATACCATATATTTTGGAAAACAAATTGAAGGTGAGGATGGGGATGGATGGGAAATTTTATATTTTTTAATTTCACCATAAACCACAGAAGTAACCAGTAGTCACTGAATGTTGATAAAAATGAAAATGGCAGCTTTTGCAAGGTTTTGCATTGCCCCTAGATGTGGAAAATATAATCATCTTGTGTGGGGGGGGGGGTCAGAAGAGGCTGGAACCTGGAGTGGGGGAGAGTCAACCTATAGGAATTCCAATATCCTTCCAAAGTCAGCCTTAGCCTCCAGCCTGATTGTGGGGGTTTTCTGACAGGTTTGAGCTTAGAAAACTGAATCACATGATATGTGATGTGCTTTTTGACTATTCAAATCAGGTAATTTCACTTCTACGACGGCAGTACACTAACCAGTAGAGTTAGTTTCCAGCTTAAGAAATTTTGTTGTAACAAAGAGTGGTTTAAAGTCTATAAGTCCATTTTTCTTCATAGTAACAGGTTCTTAACAATCAAAGATAAATGAACCGCCCTTGCTTTCAGTGCAAGTGAGGGGGAAAAAATACACACACACACACCCTGGGGGAAGAAGAGGCAGCCAGACTGAGCTCTCCTTAGCAGTTCAATTGAGGGGGGAGAGGCTTGTCTGGCGGGTTGTGGGAGTGAATCTAATTATCAGTCTCTTACTTTCATTAATAGGTTGGAGCAAGTTAACTTCTCAAAGGAGGAAGAAGTAGACATTATGCCTGCATTCTTAGACTACATTATGATCATTTAAGCATTGCTTTCACAAAAATAATTTTTTTTATACCTCCTTCATGAGGTTGGGCAGGTGGACAGGAAGAACATCTACTATGGAAAGGCAAAAATAGCAGGTAAAACGTGGTGTACTTATAGATGAGAAGACAGAGTATTCTGGAAAACTGGAAAGTACACTCTAATAAATTTTCATCTACATCTGTGCAATGTAGTTAGCTAGACTAACCCTCAGGTGAGAATTTTCACTGTACTCCATTGTAACCCATTCCCGTCATCTTGTTTCATTTCACCTGTTCCACCAGTGCTCTGTGAGTAAAAGTCAACTTGGATGCCGTCTATGTGTATCTTGACCAATATTTTTGTTTCTGTAGCCTCACGAGCCAAAAATCTGATGATGACTATGAAGATTATGCTTCTAACAAAACGTGGGTCTTGACTCCAAAAGTTCCTGAGGGTGATGTCACTGTCATCTTAAACAACCTTCTGGAAGGATATGACAATAAACTTCGGCCTGATATAGGAGGTATGTTAAAGTCTTCTGTGGTTTGATGTAGATAGAAACAAACATACCTACCACATTAGATGAAAACATCAGTATATTTCAATAACCAGAAAGATTTAAATAATACTTCCATTATGTGTTGTAAAAATAGATAAAGAGAGTATAAATAACATTCAGGCCTGGGAGTGGGAGGGGCATTGATAAGCTCATGATGAAGAAAGATGATTTCCAAGTAAGGCTTGAGAGCTGGAAATTCAAATTTTCCTAGATCCCCCAAACAAAGAAAAGTGACAACTTCTTTATGAAGTAACATCAAAAACAAACAAGTAAGTAATGCTAAAGAAATGATATATTGGTTACCTGTTACTGTGTAACAAATAACTGCAATATCTCAGTGGCATATGATAATGAGCATTTATTTAGCATTTTGCTGGGGACAGTCTAATCTAAGCTAAACCAGATTGGGGCTGCTCATTTAGAAAAGCCGTACTCTCATTCTACTCCTGGGATCAGCGGACTAGCTAGGAGTATCTCACGACAACGACAAAGAGCAAGAGAGAAAGTAGAAGCTGAAGAGGCTTAATGCTTGGGATTAGAACTGGCACACTCAATTTTGTCCCTATATTATCAGTGAAAGCAAGTCAGATGGCCAAGCCTTAAGTTCAGAGACAGAGAAGTAGTCTTAATGAGGTAAAGGCAAGGGTGTAGATGCAGGGACTAGTGATGAGTTCAATCTACCACAGAGAATTACGGCATGGCACTTTCAAGGAAAGTGAATAAAGATGAAACAAATGTACTGTTGAGTTGAAGCCCAGAATGATATTATGAATCCTTGTTCATTAAATTTTAAATGAAAATGGAGCACATGCATTTCATCATGGATGTAATACTACATGATTTTTAACATCAGTCCTCTTTGACAAATAGGTGTGCGTTGGGTTTCCATATGGTCTTCTCATATTATTTGATGAGTCACAGAATTCATTAAGTCATTGAGGAAGATAGATTTTGTGTTGGCTAGAGGTTTATGAGGATAAAGTGGTCATAAAAGGGATCAACAGGGTGCAATATTTCAAAATCAATTCATAATACTTGTTGCTCTTTATGTCTACTTCATGATTCTAATGCATATTTTTTCTAGGTCACTAAGTAGTTATTTTTTCTATATGGGTCAAATCAGGTTACAATGCCCAAATAGATTCCAGAGCTTGAAGGAAAAATGGTAAAATTCAGGATGTCTGAGAGAAGGATGAAGAAAATCTGAGCACTGTTTTCTTATTTGTTCATTTTTATGTAGTCTTAAAGGATAGTCAATTTCAAAACTCTACTATGCTTAGTTATTGCATTTACCTCCCCCGAAAGGACATATTTCTTTGAAAACAAATAGCTATTTAAATGTAGTGAATTAGTCACTGGCACCAAATTAATTGGAATAAATCACTCCTCATGTAGCAAAATAAGTCTATTTCTGGAATAACAAAGACCAAAATGTTAAAATATTGTTCTTCTCCATTTGCACATATCTCTATGGTTCTCTTTACAGTGAAACCAACATTAATTCACACAGACATGTATGTGAATAGCATTGGTCCAGTGAACGCTATCAATATGGTAAGTTTCTAATAGTTTGTGTATTTATTGACACATTAGAGAGGGAATGTGGTATCAGGGAAATAGCAAGGAATGTGCCAACAAAAAAAATTGGAAGGAAGAGATAATCTTTCAGATCCTTTTTTTCTCTGTTCTAATATTACTTTTTATGATTTGTTATGAGAATTAATTTGTGTAAAGTTAATTTGTATAAAATTAATTTGTGTAAAAATGCTACATTCTTATAATTCAATAATCATTGCTTACTATGAAATAAAATATAGTGTTCCACTACTTTTTAGAATATTGATGGTATGAAGAAGGTATAGTTTGCTTCAAATCAGAATTGTTTCTCAGAGGAGATTGTGCGGTAGATGTAAATAATGGTCACTTAGTTCTTGTATAACACTTTCTCTCCAAATCTGAAACAAGAAACTAGATTCAAGTCTATAATAGAGTAGAGTAGAACATACTGTAACATAACATAACATACCATTAGTGAGACTATAAGTTTAAAATAGTTTACCATGCTAACAATAAGGACACTCTGTTGAGTCAGAGAGAGAGAGAGATGAGAAACTTTAATTACTCTCAATTGAGGTGATAAAAAAGTATACCACCACCTGCCTACTCCAGGCAAGTCAGTTTACTTAACTTTTAAACAAATACCAACTGTTTCTTCTTTACAACTAAAATGCTCAGAATATTTAGCATTATAATGTAAATATCTAAGAAGAAGAAACTACATATATAGTTTATTTAAACTTAGAACTTTTAATTTCAGGAATACTAGTCCCCAGAACTACTGTGCCAGGATTACAGTTTATGAAACACTGGTTTAAAGACTATTAAAGCTTTTATTTTTGTAGGTTTTCTTTTTTTTTTTTTGGCCAAAATGTAGATCAGAAATTATTTAATTACCCTATCTACTGACACATCACTAATTAGTAGACACAGAATTTCAGAGAACAGGTTCCCTTCTCATTACTTGTAGACGACAAATATGGAACTAAATAGTAAACAAAGGGGCCTGGCTTACCCCAGTGGAAATGCAGTCAATTAGAATGAGAGGTGGCAGCCAGAGGTACAAGGAGATAACACAGAACAACGCCAACAAGGGAAAGGAAGAGGATTCTGATCTGATCCTGACAGACTGTGTGTTCTTAGGCAAATAAATAGTCTCCCTGTTTTTTCGTTTTCTTCATCATAAAATGATGTAGGTTGAGGGGATTGGACTAGAAATAATAGATGACTCCCATCCTTCAACTCTCATATTCTAAAACTGCTGTTTTTTTCCTCTAATTTTCTCATTTATAGACATGATTAAATTCATTATAAAATAATGCTAAATAATAACTAAATATGATAGTCAAATTAGAACTCAGGTGTTCTGACTCCAGGCCTAATGGTCTGAATTCACATCACACTTACTTCTCTTTGATTAAAGTCAATCACTTGCCACTTTAGTGATTATACTTGAGGGTAATCATTACAGAGTCATTTGCCATCATAGATCTTTGTGAATATGCTTTGTGATAGAGATTAGTACAGTAGTAAGGATTCCTCTTATTTAGAGAAAAGAACAAGAAGCGTAATAGTAAAAAATTTTTTAAAAGTTACCTTACATTGAATGTTTGCTGTCTGCCAGACACAGTGCAAAGCGCTTTATATGTATTCTCCTTTTTCCTTTTTTATCCTCACACTAACTAACAAGATAGGTTCTTTAGGATCCCTATTTATTATTAGGGAACTAAGCCTCCAGAGCTCCAGTCTAAGACTGTTTTGAGTATTATGGACTTTCTTTCACTCTATAGCAGTGGTTCTGAACCTGAGTGATTGTTGTCCTCAAGAGACATTTGGCAATGCCTGGAGATACTTTTAGATGTCATAATTTGGGGTCAGGATGAGGGTGGGTGTTAGTGGTAATGGCATCTAGTGGGTGGAGGCTAAGAATGCTACTAAACATCCTAAAATACACAAGTCAGCACCCACAACAAAGCATAGCTGGCCCAAAATACCATGAGAAACTGTTCTATAAATACCAAATGCAAACGATTATATCAGGGCTATGATCTTTTGCTGGAATTCATTTAGACAGATCTGTTTTTTCATAAAAATATCAACTTGTCTACAAAAGATGGATGAGTCTCCTTAGAAAAGCTTTTGCTTTCTTTTGGACTAGTCAAAGCCAAAGTAGCTTGCTTCAAATTAACAATGAGAACAAAAATGATAAGAAAGTATAAAGAACAAATGCTCTACAGTACAATCCTACTGTGTTAAAAAATGCTGTATTTCATCTTTTTCTTTAAAACAGGAATATACAATTGATATATTTTTTGCCCAAACATGGTATGACAGACGTCTGAAATTTAACAGCACCATTAAAGTCCTCCGATTGAATAGCAATATGGTGGGGAAGATCTGGATTCCAGACACTTTCTTCAGAAACTCCAAAAAGGCTGATGCACACTGGATAACCACCCCCAATAGGATGCTGAGAATTTGGAATGACGGTCGAGTGCTCTACACTTTAAGGTATTCTTTTGAAAAAGGAAAGGAGTAATTGCTGGGAATAAAACAAAGATCAGCCACACTCTCTTAAAACAAAAAGAATGAATGAAATTTCAAGCCTACATCAGGGTTGACATGTTTGATCAAGATAGTATGTAACACACAAAATTAGTTTTTCCTGCTGTTATCAATGAGGTTTTCAAAGGACTAGCCATAGGCAGAATTTATTTTCGACGACTCATGTGAAAACTGTATTTTCTCACAGGGACATGAAACTTTCTTTACCTTTGTAAGATCTCCTACTCTTTGCTCCAATCTTGGCTTTTATATGCGTGTACTGCTACTTTAAAATATGGGAACTAAAACACAGTCAGTCATCCTTGGGGCCACCAGTTCTTATGCCTGGAAATGTCTCCATTTCCAAGGAAACCATTGCTAAAGAAAAAGTTTTGATGTTGAAGTCTCCCCTACATGTTTCACTTTTAGCTGCACAATGGCAAATACCAGGAATGAATTCCATCTCCCAGCACCCGCTTCCCACTACATTGGTATTTGACTTAGTTTATTGGCTATTTTTGGAATAAACATCTTTTGGGAAAATGTGAAGAGGGTATTGTGGGGGCCTGGAATTGGCCACCCCAAGATATGTCTCTTTGGCATGAGGATTATTTGGGGCTGGTTGCTTTTAATACACTGCAGACAGGAAAGCAACTGAAAAGTAGAATTTACTTACCCTTTTGTTAAGAGACATTTACATTTGTAAGGGAAATCTCCATCTGTAAAGTTGTCTCCCTCTCTGTACCAGGAAGAAGGGGGATGCCCTTATCTCTAGAAACGGTTAATCAATGCCAAAGGCAAGGACTTAAATCTGCATTTGTTTATTGTGCTTGTCTGATAACCTCCTGTAACTGACTCCCCCCACTCCCAACATCCTCCTTTGTCGTTAGCTGAAGATGATATTTAAGGTGGGGGCTTCAGCCATTTTGGCGAGTTGCTCAGCTTGCCTGAGCCTCTCCCATGTATATATGCTATAAAGCTTTGTTTAGTTTTCTCCTGCTATTCTGTCTCATGTGAGTTTAATTCGTTCTCTGGCCAGAAGAACCCAGAGAGGGTAGAGGAAATGTCTTCCTCCCCTACGATATCTTTTATTTTCTGAACTTAAATATTAAGAAACATTTGGGAGGTTTTCTACTTAAATTATTTTATGTCATTATCTTAGTACTTCATACTTACATGCATTCACAATATTTTTATGTTGAAGTTTCTTATTGATGAGAGTATATTATTAAACGACATAATAAATAAGTACATAGAGTTAAGAATCAGACAAATCTGACGTTGGTTCTTAGCTCTATATCTTCTTATCTGTACGAAATAAGGCAACTCTCCAGAATTTCCATATACAAGACTTTGGGACAGCTATCTCGTAGCAGGGGTCTTTGTGCTAGAAGGTGTATCTCAAAGCTTTATTTATTTAGTAATTTTGATGTTTTTACAGTCATATCTCACTTAACAATGGAGACAGGTTCTGAGAAAAGCATTGTTGGGTGATTTTGTCATTGTGCAAACATTATAGACTGTACTCAAGGGAATAAAATTTGCCACCCCAAAATGTATTCCTTTAACATGAGGCTTATTTTAAGCTGATTATTTTTGAGAAACAAGACTCAGAAAGTTTTTCTTGTTACCTCCCTTTTGACTGCTTAAAAGGATTCAAATAAAAACATCTGTCTCAGAAAGTGAGTTATCACCTTAGCATGACATGAACCAGGTGTAGACAGAAAGGAACCTAGAAAAAGTGTGTTTGTTGGGCCTCCTCTCTGTGTTCTCCTATTTCTGTGTGACCAAACGTTTGTGTTCAAAATGTTTGCTCCTTTTCACCTACCTGTGAATTGCCTTCCTTCCCTTTGAAGTCTGACTTTCCCCATCCCCAACACCTATTTTTGTCTTCAGCTGAGGATGGCATTTAAGGAGAGGAGGAAGAATTGGGGGAGAATTGATGGATATTATTGGGAAAGAAGGCATCACCACTCCTATGACTCACCTCTTGCCCAAAACTCTTGTAGTACTACAACTGAGCAAACTCTAACCTTTCATTTAATTTCTATAAAATAGAGATAATGATTCTTATCTTACAAAGTTGTTATAAGGACTAAATGGTGTGATATGTAAGGTGCTTAATGTATACACTGATATATAGTAAGCCCAGCAGATATTAAAATTATCTGTGTATACTCTAAGTAAAAATATGAATAATATGATTCTTCTAGATCTTGGTATCCTGGAACTTCCAGCTCAAGAATGATTCATGTTAAATGCCCTTGCAGCATATACTTTATGCCTTATATGACAATCAACATACAAAGTATAGCACTTTAAAATGGCTTGAAAACCTTTATCAAAGTTTCGTCAGTTACTAGGAAAAATGACCACAATTACAAAAGAAATTCATTGCATATATTTTGTATTCATCATGGATTTCATTAAGATAGAGATAAGGTAATGACTGAAATTAGAATCTAGTGGAAATCAAAATTTGTCTAATAAATCAGAGCTCAGTCTAGCTTTTGAAATATTAAGTTGGTCACACCATCTCAAGTCTCTTTATTACTCTCATAACATGATAGTCCTTTTTTAACTTCTATTAATTTGCAGAATCACTACAATATTCAATTATGGACCCACCTCAAAAACGTCACTCATGAGATTCAATCAAAGTTTGAATGAGTTACTAATCTATATAGAGAGATGATTTTATTCTTATTGCTTATCTTTAATGAGTTAGGAAGGGGTGTGTGTGTGCATAGATATATATGTATGTATCTATTTTTATATCTGCAACCTATTGTGTTTTCAATTTCATAAATTCCAGTTTAATTTGGAGAAATTATAGTAATAAAATGTCAAATTTAATTATAATTCACTTGTGAATAAAACTCATCTTTTCCTTGAAAGGGCATATAATTATTGAGTAGCAATGATTAAAATCTCCAGCTTTGGAGAAAGATAACCTTGGGTTCAAATCTCAACTGTGCCACTAGCTTTGTGACTTTGGACAGCTTCCAGTACTGTAAAGCCATAAAAACACTTACTAAATAAGAGGACACTTACTTTGCCCAGTGCCTCACAGACAACTAAGGGCTCAATGATTATTAGTTAGGTTTTAAGATCAGTAATTGCTCTATTATGCCATAGAGTAATAAATTTCCCCCAATTAAAAATTATGCTAAACTGCAAAATCTTTGAAAATAAATAAATGCTCATAAAATAACACTTTTATTACTTCAAGACTGATATCTGTACATTTTAAGAAATATAGCTAACAAATATGAGATTTTAAAAATCATCAACCCACCACCGTTACAATTGTAGAATATATTTATACATTTTCCAAGGTGGCCAACACATCTGAGATTCACTTAAATTTTCTCCCTCCTAGAATCCTAGCCCATATTGAGACCCAGAAAATCTGTATGTTTAATAAGCACCCCAGAGGCAAACTAATTGAGACTCATTGGCAAACATTTTGCTAATATGTCTGTGTATATGTATTTAACACTTCTGGCTTGCCTTTCGATATTCTTCTGCTTCATAACATCCTATTTAATGGCTTCATAGAGTTCCATCATAAGAATGCAAAATACTTTGTTGTGAAACATAGGTATTTTTAAACTCAAATAGTAATTTAAAGCTAACAGCTAACAAATGCTTGCAAACAGAGGGTTCTGCTTTAATTAGCAGATAAATTCTGAGAATTATCAGCATTCATTTACATGAAAACAATAAATGAGCTTCAGTTCTTAAAACAGGTTGTTCTGTTAAGTAAGTTAAATATATTCACTGAGCAATCTCCTGTAAAATTAATTTACCCAAAAAACAAAATCACGTGATCATAAATTTTGAATAAATGGAGTTGAGGTCAATGAGATACTATTGTTTGGTCTGTGAAAATGAGTGGGCTACATTAAGTCTTAAATAATTTTCTCCTGGACTTGGTGGATTTCTTCAGTGAGGATTAATTTATGTTACCAATAAGAATGTGTGGTATACTCTCAAGGAACAAAAGGAAATGGTCATTAGAACTTTTGCTAATATATATTTTTAAAACCATGTCTAAAATCTTTCTATTTATGTTTCGTATCTTTCTATACAGGTTGACAATTGATGCTGAATGCCAATTACAATTGCACAACTTTCCAATGGATGAACACTCCTGCCCCTTGGAGTTCTCCAGTTGTAAGTAATACTCATTCTATATTTTGTATCCCGTCTCACCAACATCTTTCTGATTGCCTTGTCAATTAATTGGGACACTCATAGAGAATACAAAATTGCATTACGCAATGTTGTTGACTTTGAAAAGTTTGAGTTTCTTTCGACATTACACCAGCTTGTCCTTATTAAGAGTGATTCTTGCAAAAATGGATCTATTTTATCAGGAATTACAAATAGATTTCATTGGGGTGTAAACTTTTAATAAATTGGCAGTGGTTGCCTGGAGCCCTTCATTGAGAAGGATTATGATGCCAGGCCTGGACTCAAGGGAAAGGGGCAATGGTGGATTATACCTCCCTCTCCCTCTGTGGGCCTAGAGGAAGAGAATAGCAGTATATTTGCTGCTTATTTTCTCCCTTGACATGTCAGGACACACAGAGATCCAACAGCGTTGTTTCCGATCTTGGTATACCTGTTAAAGATAGAAGATTACCTCCTCCTCCTGGAGTTTAGTAACATCAAGAACTAGTTATCCACCAGTGAGTAAAAGACCGATTTTGAGTGTCATTTGGGTTCAGTTCAAATCCCAGCTCCATCACTATAACTTGAGGAAATTACTAAATCTTTCAGTGTGTCCACATTCCCAGGTGCCCAATAGAGATTACAGACCTGCCGGACCACAATATTGTCTTGTTGATATATGTAAAATGCTTGGTATGTTATGTAACACACAATAAGATTGAATAAAAAGATCTATTATTTTTATTATTGTTACTGTCATCAGATAATAGACTATAGAAAGATCTATGATTATTCTAACACAGATTAAGCTTTAATAACCTTCACAGATGTTTCCTGCCTGAAACAAAACAAGCTTCAGTTTCCCCCAAATGTTTGCCTCACTATGTTTTTAGCATCGGTGTTAAGTTGCTCACCTCCTCCTTATTTTTGATCTGTCAATTGTGTATGTTAGGCAAGATGAAAAACTGATTATGAAATTTAAATTTATATTTTTATAAAGATAATTTCTCAGCCAGGGAGTGAGGGAGACTCCTAAGAGCCAACTAAATCATAGTAACCATACTTTTAAAAAAAAATCAATTATGAGAGAAGCAGTCATCTGTTTATCACTAATTAATTCCAGAGGGAACCAGAGGAAAAATATTACTGTGTATCATAGATATCGAGAAAAATTCCCACTATCAATCTTATTTCATATGTTTTACTTCATCCAACAATGGAATGTTTTTAAGTGAAAGCTTCACCAAGCTTTAGGAGATTAGATTTCTTTTCTTTTAATTTTCCAACTGGGACTACTCTCCTGAGTCAGCTAAAATTCAACAACTGGGGATTTCTGTGCTATCAGGTCACTGATTGACAACAGTATGCTGAAACCAAACACAACTTAATACTACTTATTGCTATCAAAAAAATTTAGTCACCAACACATTCTTCACAGAAAGATCCCCAATATCATCATTCTTTACCTCAGTTTTCACCATATCCAACACCCCCAGCCCTGCTCCATAGCAACCTGGGGATCCTTTTTCTTTTCTCTTTCTTCTTAATGAATAAACACATAACAAAGAGTAGAACCTAAAGGAAAGGAAAGGAGAAAACAAGGAATTTTATTCCAAATAGTCAATCAGCCTCCATAATGAAGACTTATCTTTACAAAGCATTATTAGTAGACAAACAGTTGAAATGATTTCTAGTTTTAAAAAATCTGTTTATCTATCTATCTATTCAGTTATTTTACTTGAAAGAGTTTATTCTACCGCTTACTTAATAATAATGTTTATCCGTTCCACAAATATACATTGACCATCAATTCCACGAAAAAAGACCTATCATCATCTTCATTAGGAAACAAATAATTTAGAAAAAAATTAATAAACTTGTCCCGGGTATCACGGCTAGGAAATGCTACTGTAACCGCTATGTTATCAGTGTAATACCTCTTTCATGAAGGCTTTTTTATTCTCTTGGCTGAACACGATTGATCCCTTCAGAATCTAAATAGCGCTCATTCATATTTTCCCCTTGGCTTTTTCTACTTCCTGATTTTAATTGTAGACTTCTGTGTATATTAAAATGAAGTCCTGACACATTGAGAGAGAGAGAATAACGTAAAGAGTTGCAGTTATTTTTCCCAATCGTTTTCTACTCAAAGTGCATGCCCTGGAGAAGATTCGAGTCTGTTCTCTCATTATTTTCTGCTTGTGTATGTCTCTCAAAATCTTGCCCTGTTGACTCCCCTTCACCATGAAATGATACCTTGCATATGTACTATTTATTAAATTTATTTATTAAATTAAATTAAATATGTACTATTTATTAAATACTATTTATTAAATACATTTTTTTATATCTTACTCCAGATAATATAAAATATGCATATAGTATATATGAAACCCTGTATAGTATACCTTCTATGCAATCTAAGTGATTTTCAAGGATAATTTTGACTTCATGATTTTTAATTTAACTTCCCATTAGGATATGATATCATTGTATTTATTTCCCCTACTGTGATGCTCTTTAGACCAGGATCCGCATCTAACTCATAACTCTTATCCCTCTCAGTACCTACCTCAGTGTCTTCTTCATAGAAAGTGGTTGCTATATATGTTCATTTATAATAATTTTAAACATATGCTTTCCCACCTCATGGCAGATGGCTATCCACGTGAAGAAATTGTCTACCAATGGAAGCGTAGTTCTGTTGAAGTGGGTGACACAAGATCTTGGAGGCTTTATCAATTCTCCTTTGTCGGCTTGAGAAATACCACTGAAGTAGTGAAGACAACTTCTGGTAAGATGCACCTGTAAAGAATTTTGAGGGACACTTCCAGAGTTAAAATGCTGGTATATGTGATTCAGAAAGCTTTCCAATATCTGTCTACAAATGATATTCAAAAAATTAAATCAAGTGTTTTAATATACTTCTAGAGAAAATTATAATTAATATTCTAGCATAATAGAAAAATATAAATGAATTTTATCACTTTGAAGTAAATTGGATTAAAAGTGGATTAGTAAATTATTTGCTTAATTTTTTTAAGCAAAGTGAGTAGCAATTATTAAAAATAAGATGAAAATATTTATTGTCTAGATGTATTGTTTCTTTTAGGAAATATGTTTCATAGTAGATTGAAATAGCAGCATTTAAAGTAATCATGGAGGGAGAATAAACTTTCTACAAATGCAGAAAAGTGACCTTAGTGGTTATGGACTAATTCTCCATTCAATAATTTAATATTTTGAACTGGTTCCATCAGTGGAAAAAGACTGGACTTTGGTATTAGATAGGCCTGGGCTCAAATCTCAACTCTATCAGTTACAGGCTATGAACATCAAATGAATTACTGAATTTCTCAGGGAATTAGCTCCCCCAGATAGCTAATGTGGATAAAAAAATTTGCACCCCAGACATACTGTGTGTATGAAAAAAATGCACAGACTGATACCTGGCACTTAGTGAGCACTCAACAAATAGTAGTTCTTACTAATATTAGATATAAGGCCTAATGTGGTCAAGACTTCAGGTTTTTCAAGAGAAACTATAAATCTATATTTTTATATCGAATCTCATGATTTTTAACGGAATTAATTTAATTGATTTAAAAATTCAGGTGGGCCAAGTTAAACACATTTCCAGATCCAATGTGTCTCCTGGGTGGCCAGTACGAACCCTCTGCAATGCTAACTATATACTCCAGACAGAATACTCCAGCTACTCTAAAATTATGTGAAGTTTTTGCTGTTGTTGTTTTGTTTTGTTTTTGAGGAAGATTAGCCCTGAGCTAACTACTGCCAGTCCTCCTCTTTTTGCTGAAGAAGTCTGGCCCTGAGCTAACATCCATGCCCATCTTCCTCTACTTTAAATGTGGGATGCCTACCACAGCATGGTGTGCCAAGCAGTGCCATGCCCACACCCGGGATCCGAACCGGCAAACCCCAGGCCGCCAAGAAACGGAACGTGCGAACTTAACCACTGCACCACCAGGCCGGCCCCTAAAATTATGTGAATTTAAATGTTTCAATTTCAAGCAGTATCAACATTGTGTTCTGAGCTTATCATATATTAAGGCATGTCTTTTGAGATCTATTACCATGAGTCGAGCTGCTTTCTGTTGACTGACTCACACATACCTCATTTTTTTTCCTGGAATTCATAAGGCATATTTTTGTGTTGACTAATCTGGAATAAGGCCTCGGTCTGCTATACAGAGAGAAGCAAATTAAGGATGTACACAAGGATGGAAATTTAAGATCCTACCTTCATAAACACCATCCTCTAAATCAAAGAGCTATCTGGCCCTCATATTGTTTTCAGCATTTGTGGACTTCTCCTAAAGTATCTTATTTTTGCAAAAAGAATCTGTAAGAAGGTCAAAAAAATGCCCGAGTATATTTTTGAACAGTTGCCTTCTGTTCCTTTTTTCACTAAAAATCCTGACCATCAAGAACTAGAATAGTCTTTCAGGATTACCTCAGAACTGAAATCTTCCATCTGTGAAAGGAAGAACAAGTGTAAAAATAATCTCCAATTTTGCATGCTTCCCAAATGAGAAATTGGGCATTAAGTTCTATAATATATTCATATTTCTATAATCATTCTAGCACCCTAAAACAGAAGTCACAAACTCATGACTAGCAGATCTTGTTTGGTTATTTGAGACCAGGGTGGCATGAAAACCCAAGGGTGGTGAGAGAGGGGTTGGCTATATATCACAGGGCCTACGACCATTGTCTCCCTAATGTCCCATACTGAGAAGAATCTAGAGCATTTACTGCCTATTAAGACATACTTCCAGAAGAAATGCAAAGATCTACTTACTTAAAGCATGGCAAGAAAAATTACCAAAGTGTCACCAGACCATTAATATTAATCTTCCTCAGGAAATCACAGTAAAGCTGCATTGATAAGATATTAGCTTTGATATTGAATAGCATCATTTAACTGGTCGCGTCAACTCCTTTGTGTTTTCTAACATGGCAGTGAGCCTCCACATTGCTCTCATTGTCCACTCCGTACTCTCACTGGTTTGTATTTTGTGTGCAGTACCATTTTAATTGCCTCTGTGAAGAGGAAGGGCTGAACTCAGTCTTTACCCTAATGCTGAGAGGCAGCCTGAGGCAGCCTCACTCACAAGAGTGAGAGTTGATTTGGTAATGATTGGAGGTTTCTGCTTATCTTTTGCTTGATTTCTGAGGCCATTCTTATCTTCAAAGCATAGCTCTGTAACTAGTTAATATCTATCAGGAAGTTATATTAACAACTTTCTTGGAAAGTTATCAAAGATTAAATTTATAGCCTTTTTGAATCTTAACCATTAAAATGCGTTTTTCTCCTAGACTTATAGTAAATATACCTCCTTTTGAGAAGCCTCTGTCAAAACTGGGAGAGAATATTGCCTAAAATTTGACCTAGATGACTGCATGGATTTTTAACCTTCATTCATTCAAGCCCGCCTTGCATGGCTTTGTCATAGCCAAGTGGTGACTGTACTGCTGCTTCCCTAATATTTTTTCTTTAAATTGATTCATTGTTTTTAGCAAAATTATTATTTTTTAAAAGATTTTATTTTTTTCCTTTTTCGTCCCAAAGCCCCCCCGGTACATAGTTATATATTCTTCGTTGTGGGTCCTTCTAGTTGTGGCATGTGGGATGCTGCCTCAGCGTGGTTTGATGAGCAGTGCCATGTCTGCGCCAGGATTCGAACCAACGAAACACTGGGCCGCCTGCAGCGGAGCACGCGAACTTAACCACTCAGCCACGGGGCCAGCCCCCCAGCAAAATTATTTTTTAAAGGAAAGTTCACATTAGCACCATAATTGAAAAACGAGAAGATTTGACATAAACAGTAGTTGATATAAAAATATAGTGAAAAACAAATGTTCCTTAAATTTTAAGTGCGTGTATTTGTACTCCCCAGACTGAGCATAGAGAGAAAGAAGCAGAGATATTAGAGAAATGGGAAATTGCAAATAGCTCCAAAGTAAAACATTTCCTCGATGTAAACAGAACAGAAGGAGTATTTCACAGGAAAGAATTTTCTCACAATGAAATTCAACGCTATTTGATAATATTTGCGTCCACCACCTGAATCAACTCCTTTATCACCAGTTTTTGCATCACACTTCAGAAAAATATTGTCTCTGGGGTAGATTGAGAAGACTTGAAAAATATCTTTAATTCACAGTCAATACATCAAAACAGATTCTGGATCCATGATTTCTCCTCCAAACTAGCATCTCTTCCTGTTTGCTCTAAATCTGGTAATAGCACCATCATTGTCCCAGCGAGCCAGGCGTGAACACTCGGAGTCATGTCTCTGCCTCCCACATCTAATGAATCACGAAGGCACTTATGCCTCTGAAATATCTTGTGTAACTGTCCTCTTTTCAGTTGCCATTGCCACTGTCCTAGTTCACGATTCTATCTGTTCTCATCTGGACTGTGTTGGTGGCCTATTAAGTTATGTCCCTGCTGTCAGTCTCTCTCTTCTTCAATCTATCCCTTACACATTAATCATAAAAGCTGGCACTCACTGAGCACTAACTATATGCAGCATAGAAAGCATTTTATATAAATGTCCTACTTTAATTCTCATAATCATAGCCATATTTACTATCATCTACACTGAGGGTATCACTGTAGACGAGAAAACGGAGACTTCCAGGAGGTCATCCACATGCAGGGATCAGTTACGGGGATATAAATTCAAGTGGTTTGCTCACGGAGTTATGCTCTTAATCACTACAGTGTTTTATTCCCACTATGGCCCAATGAATCTTCTTGAAGTGCAACTTTCATCCTGTCTCAGAAATTCAGTAAGTTCAATTAAGCACAAGCTGTTGCTCCTAATATGTAAGCACCTCATCTCAGGAACTTTCCAGCTTTGTTTTCCATATTTTCCCAGCTTGCGACAGAACTAAGCTGTTAGTGTTTTTCTGAATATAACTAGGAAATCCTATACACACATTGACTCTCAGTCTCCTTTCTCTTTTGAATAGCTTCTTAACTCATCCTTACCTTCTGTATGACTTTAAGGCTTAAATAAACACCACCTTCTCAATGAGGTCTTTACTGATCTCACCTCCAAAACAACGTGGGGCAATTTTTAAGAATGCGCACTCTTGGAGTCAGGCAGCTCAAGTTTGAATACTGGCTTATATAAATTATTGAATGTATCTAAGCTCAATATCATCAATGCTGCAGGGTTGCTCTGAGGATTAAGTGACATACTCCATTAAAAATGCTTAAAACCTTGCCTAGCACATAGAAAATACTTAGTAAGTTGAAAGCATTATTATTATTATTATTTATTATTATTATTATCATCATCATTATTCCATTAATTCCCCTCAGAGCATTTTCACTCACCTTATGAAAACGTAACTTCTTCCTTGCGTGGCTTGGCCACTTGTTTTATCCCCCCTTTTCTACCCCCTCACTCTAATAAATCACAAACTTTACAAGAGAAGCCTTCTTTTAATCATCTTTGTATCCATGATGCTTTTAGCATGGTGGCTTGCTTAGGTTTTTTGATTAGTAGGTAATTGTAAGACTGATTGCTTGTGACAATTATATTGATAAAACTATAAATTTTCTCACAATTTAATAAGCAATGAAGAATTCTATTATATATTTTTCCATTACTCATTGTTTGAAGTCAGAGACTTCGTTCTTTCTGGTCATGTTGCCATTATCTACATGATTTTTAGTATTAAGCAGAATTTCCTTCCTTCATGGTCTCATCCTGAAATGTGGGTTAGAAAAGTGGACCAATGAGTTTCTTATGGGAACCTACATTTTTGGGATCCAAATGTCATCATTC